GATGATGAATTCGGTGAACAGGTGTTAAATGTTTGCAGAGGCTAAAGCGCGTTTGTAGTAGGTATTTTTTTTTTTTTCTGAAACGAGCTTACACTTTCGGCCACCGTCGAACGCGAGACGCGTCGAAAAAAACGCCCGGTCGGTCGGCCGGCGTGTAGCGATGATGGCCCAAAGATAGGTGGCCCCCGTCGACGCCGCGCCGCGCCGCTCAGATGCGTGACGAACGTGCGAGCGGTGTGCGTCTCGAGCGAGGCGTTCTATTGAAAATTCACGTGCCAACGGCGCGACCGTGCCGCGCGAGTGGAATTTCAAAGGGGGCGAAGTTTCGCAGGAACAACGTCCGCGGCTCTCTGCTTCGTCGCTTGTGCGGACGCCGCGTATAACTCGACCTTGCGCCTTATATGCGATATATCGCGCGCGCAAAAACTCGGGATTATGCATTATACGATCCGTCACGCCGACTCGTTATTAATAAAAGAAATTCATTTTCCGTCGAATCGTAAACAAAGTACAATTTCACGTGTGTACTTGTCGTTTTACATATCACTCGCATCTCTTCTTTTAAGAGAAATGTTGTTCGGTTAAGGAAAAAAAATGATGAATAACTATATGATAACTATATGATAAATATATTAATATTTAAATTTTTATTAATATAAATATAATAATAAAACAAAATGTGCTCTAAACATATAATTTCACTGTCTTAATTAATTTTATTCTCATATTATCGTTTTAGCATGAAAACCGCAAACCCAAAGCGAACACGGACGTGTGAGGTTTTATTTATCACAGTTTTAAAATCGTTATACCTCGAGGTAAAGGAAAAATTTATTCCAGATTGGACAACGCATATGCAATGTAAAGAAGTAAATCTGGGACATAAACGCATAAAAGTCCGTGCACTGGTATTGTTCGTAAATTTCACGACTAGAATACATCCTATATAGCTTTATATGGGTACATTGCGTTATAAATCAGAACGGCCGTATCCGTAGTGTATCATTTGTAGCCTGAACGTAACGGGGAGATCGAGATATCGCGATACGTTCGCTGGCAGGTGCTGCGAGTTGATGCATCGCGGATTAACGAGTTTTCCTTTTTTTCTTCCTCTCTTTTTTTCTCTCTTTATAAAACTGCATTCGGCTCACCGATCGAATCGATCGGCGCCGAGTCAGACGGTTAGCTCGATCCTTTACTTAATCGAATGGAAATTTAAAATAATCGAGGCCCGCGACCCAGATGGCATTTGACCCCCGACACGTTCAACATAAATTTGCATAGCTTGCGTTATTTGCGAGCGATCGGCGCAATGACCAGTTATATACCTTCTCCGAGCAATTAATGCCAACCGAAAAATATTTTCTTTATCCGATAACCTC